CAGTGGGGACCACTGCAGTGGGGCCCACATCAGTGTTCTCTACAGTTCCTTCTTACCTTTCAAGATTTAGCTCCAATCTCTTTTCGGCTTTTATATATATACCGCAATAAAACTAATATCTCTAAAGTAGGAAGTTTAGGAATTTAGATAAAAATTTATTCATGGAAATTGGACCAAGGTGTTGTAGATCCTCAAACATTAAACAATTTTCTTTCCTACATGGTTGCCTTGATTCTCCACCCACATCTGAAGAAGACAACATGAGCACACTTCTTCTGAAGTGGTGCCAAAGCATGCTAGCATTCCTAATCATGGCCATCAAAGATGAGTTAAAGGAGCATTACTTATTTGGAAGGCACAAGTAGAAACATTAATACAATGATATTGATAACTGTAAAGTTGCAGAAAATATAACCACTATATTTTGAAATCAACATGATCACCATCAACACCAACATCACCATCACCATCACCATCAACTTTGGCATTTTTTGGCACAAGGTGGCCTCTCTGACTTGAATCCATGTTCTCATGCTTGGCAGCCCAAGATCTAACCATTAGACTATGTAATGGCCCATTGGCCCCTATTGGTGCATAGTAATGGCACAAATAAAATGAAATAAATCTAAACACAAGTAGTTTCGGGGTCAATGAATTTCAATGATGCTTACCTTCATAAAACTGTAGAAGGTCTTGTCTTTCCCTTCCCACAATCGCCAAGTCAATACATACTCTCTTGGATGGTAGTTTCCCAGCTCTCTTTTTCTTTTTCCTGAATAAATTTGGCATATGGAGAAGCTATGAAGTCATCCACCCACACATCCCTTGATAGAGTTAGCAGTACACATCTTATTGATGTATAGTTATAAAACAGATCCAAATGACAGGTTGCCAGTTTCAACTTTCAAGGACAAAACTAAAAAGTTTTCAAAAAAAACTAAAATAGATGCTATAATAATTTTAAAATTCCAGTAAGTTAATGGCAGGGGTAATTGAGAATTTTGAAATTTTCATAAGATCAATGGATCATGATATTCATCTCTAACAAAGGTAATGAAAAGTAATTTCAGTTTTTCATTGAGTTCTTACCTTCCAATCTCATCACCTACATTGCCACCACTTAATGCTTATAGTATTGTGGCAGCTACTATCTAAAGAGTCAATCTCATCCTCACCCATCTGAACCAAATTCCCTTGTTTTCTCCATGGTCTTTTTTAATTTCTTCTTGTTTTCCATCCAAGAACACTGGGGGGATGAAAATTGTGGATTCATATCCTCTCACTATTCTTTCTTTGAGCTATTGTTCATTTCAAAGGGATTAACATTATCTCCTTTATCATTTATTAACAAAATTGCTAATTTCATAGCTAGAATCATGGATATTTGGTAAATTAGATTTATTCCCCTTGATCAATTCCTAATCTCCACAAAACACATAGATTAAGACTGAATATCATATTTCATGAAATTTAAGTCAATGCACAGTTCATGACTCCAAAAATTTATTTTTGGCATTATACTTACATGCATAGAAAATTATGACTTTGGTTTGTTGATTTTACTTCAATTTGCAAAATTGCAGAGAAACTATGATATGACGCCTTTCTTTTTCCTTAAACCTTCTGAAGATTTAAAAAAGTGGTTGTAAATTGAGGTGGGAGTATGTGTTTGGATCTTTTTTCCATGAATTCAGGATGGCAAATAGAATGAGAACAAAAACTACCGAGTATAAGCTCATTAGATGAGTAGCTATTTCAATTATTAGTGGAGGGTCTTAGTTGACATGGCACTGAACATAGCTGAATGGTAGAACAGGATTGATGTAGCTGACAAGGCTAAGTTGAGGGGAGCAAAAGGACCTGGGTAGATATTTAGATTTCAGTAGGGCTACCAACTAAGTGGGAGGCTAGTGCCCATTATGTAAGATTTTCAGAATGATGGTTGTAGGTTCATACCTATGGTGTTTTTTGGGTTTCAAGGGCTAGAATGGAGGGATTAAGGACGCAATTGGGTTTAAAATAGAGAAACACAGATTTTGCTTGTTTGATATATGTGAAAGGACAATAAATTTGTAAGGGAAATTAAGTAATAATTGTGTTAAGCCTAAAAAAAAAGATAGCTTGGGCAGGAGGAAGAATGACAACGATTGCAGCTAGAAATGGTTAGAGACTTACATGCTATAAGCAAAGTACTTATGATACTGCTGTCTATTCCAGCACAGAAGCCATGGTATTTGCTATATACATGCCACGCCACAGGCACCTGCTCCAGGGCATGAATTTCAGACCACACAAAAAATGAAAAGCATAGCTAGAAAATGTAGCTTTAACTTTGATGAAATGTAGATGGATGATATGGATGATTAAAGTAGCAAACATACACATTGGAAAGACCCAAAGGTCAGTTGCATTTGTTCATCAGAATATCTGTTTACACTACATCATCTAATATGAACTGAGAAATACAGTGTGGTACAACTGAAAAGGCCATGGAGGGGTGTGTAGAACTGAAATATGATGGCTTGCTGCAAAATCCATGTACTATTGGTAATTAGTAAGGTAATTAGCAAGGCAACTCGCCAAGGAGGCTTCAAAGGAGCTCCTGACAGAAGATTGACGATCATAAGAGCATTCTCTTCCACAATCACAGAGGATGGCCTTAAGTAAAGGTAATTTGATATGGATTCGAATCATAATATCATACCACAAACACCAAATTATAAGAAAAGACTTGTAAACTCCATGATAACATTCAGAAATTAGATTAACATTAGAGGAAACTTACATCTATCAAAAAAAAAAACATTAGAGGAAACTTACCTGAAAGGCAGATACTATATTATAAGTATGGCCTTGAAAATGACCAGGCTGCATCAAAAAGAAATACAAAAAATAAATAATAATAGTAAAAACTCAACAAAACAACTAGCTGGGCATGGAAACAAGACAAAATGATTTAAAAATTCTTCCCAAGATTGATATTTGCAAATTTCAATAATTCCAAAAAGACAGCCATGTCATTGCTATTACAGAATGCTTTAACAAATATATATTCATCAATTTTCAGGTTTAAAGCATTAGCAGTTAGTATGATTCAACCATTGATATCAAGTGATTTATTTTAATTTTAAATACTATTAAATTCACTTGAAAGTGGTTAAAAATTTGGGGAACAAATACTTAGTTCAAGAGAGCTTTGATACAATATAAAAGAAGGGTAAATCATCTTTTGATTCCTCAAATTAAGGCTTGAAGATACAGGGAAACAAATCCTAGAATATTGTATCTAAAACAACCTTAAAGCCTTGAACACTTGAAAAACTAGCTTCTTATTTACGACAAATGCAAAACACAAGACAGTCAACTAAAAATTCTGGTCATACCAAAATGTAATTGAAGTTAATAATTCTGAGTTGCTCATGCATGTGAGTAAAAGTAGTAGAAATAAATGTAAAAGGGGGGAAACTTATCTATTTGCACTCATAATAAATCTGTTCTCAAATTCTTTGGTTTATCCTGTACAGCATCAAATTTAGGTTCCTATCTTCTTAGAACTGCAAAGGTTAGAGCCTGTAGATAGCAGCAGCAGTTTACACATGACACCTGGTTCGGATATCTCCCAACAATGCATATCCTTGCAAATGATTGAACATCACCTCATAAAAGAAACAATAGTAAATAATTAACTTGAATAAAAATTGATCAATGATTTTGAAAATGATGTGTATCAGATTAAATGAAAGAATGCGGAAAAAACTATTATGATAAATTATAAGTGGAGGACAAAACAAAAAAAAAGAGATTGGATATCTATTACCTGGTTAGATCAATGATTGGATTTCTCGCTTCAATCCCTCGTGCTTAAATGAACCTCGCTTCTAGAGGTTGTTTCGGTTAGAACTCCCAAATTTATTTGGGGCTTTTCAGAGTAGAACTCTAAACGGTGTGTGGTGGTGGACGATTGATCACTTCGAGTATTAATTTTTAGAAAATATTTCCTGAACCGCTAAGTAAGTTGCAAACCACACCAATCTTTTACGGCTCGAAAATCTTTTTTTTTTTGAAATGATTTGGTCTCAGGTCTGTGATAAACCCTTGCTCAAGTCATATGGATCAGTTTAGGCACTTGGATGACACAAATCTCTTTTGGATTTATTACTTGTACTACTAATAGCTAAGATTCGCGATTAGTCGCAGGAAACAAAGGTCACCGGTTGGTGGTGTTTTGTAGATTGCGGAAGAAAAAAAATGATGTTGCCACGGTCCCTTGAGTGACCGATTCAGTTGAGTTGATTGGAAACACTCGAAGATGACTCTAACTGGGTTTTCCCTAGAATGAAAGCAATCGGAGAAAAAACCCTCCATCTCCGTTGCTCTCTCTCTCTCTACTTGAAACTCTTGTCTCTCGAGCAAATGAGAAACTGCTCTATGAAAAAACCCTCTCTCTCTGATTGGAAACACTCGAACTGGGGTTTCACTAGAATGAAAGCAATCGGAGAAAAAACCCTCCTCCATTGCTCGGTGCTCCTTCCCATTCCCGGTTCGAATAATGTTTCTCCCCTATAAGATTCTTTATCAAAAACCTTGGATCGAAGAAATTTTGTATTCGTGCAGAAAAATAAATTTGGACTCCCACGGCTGCGTGATTGTTTTCGACCGGTTTAATTTTAAAACCGCCGCATCTGTTCCCGAACCCAATGTCTCTTTGGATATTACTACAGTGGCGATCATTAAGAGCATCGGGTCTAAACCGCCAGCTTAGATCATTTTTCTTGTAGTGTTAATGGGAAAAACTGTGGAATTAGTGGACACAATGAAGAGGAAAACAATTAATATTGAATGCTTACAAGAAACGAAGAGAAAGGGAAAAATAAAAAAATTGATGGCAACAAATTATGGTACATAGGAGAAATAAAAAAAATAGAAATATTAATAATTAGTGTTTGTGCACCCAGAGTGGGTTTAAATAATTTTAATTAAACTTGTTTTAGGTGAATTCATTAACATAATTAGTGTTTGTGCACCCCGAGTGGGTTTAAATAAAAACATAAAAACAATCTTGGAAAAACTTGGAAAGATTAATAAAAGAAATTCCAAATAGAAATGAGATTTTTATAGGATGCAGCCTAAATGGGCATGTGGTATAAAGAAGTGTAAGATATGATATGGTACATGGAGGATTTTGACTTGGGGAGAGGTATAAAACAAGAGATACAATTTTAAAATTTGTATATACAATATGGCTAAAGTACATACATATTTGAAAAATAAAAATAATCGCTTAGTAGCATTTAAAAGAAAAGAACCTCCTAAAAGAGTTTGAGAGAGTGGGAGAGTTGGTTTTGAGAGTCTGAGAAAGACGTTTGGCTTGAAACATTTGGTTTCCCAAATGTGTCATTGAGGTGGAAACATCTCTCACATTTATACATGTCTCATGAGACGTACATTATCTCATATCTTGCTAAAAAATGAAATGAGGGGAGAGATGCCTAGATTTATAATCAAGGTAGTTTTAAGAGGGAAGATATTTTGGGAGAGAGAGAGAGAGATTTTGGAGTAATTTTAAGTAATTGGAATGGGGAAAGAGGAGTGTTGACTTGGCTTAATGAGTAATGGAGAAAAGAGAGAGAGTTAAGGAGGAAGCAAGAAAGGGGAAGGGGAAAAGAATGATTGGTTCAATGCCCAATTAGGTGGCTTTAAAAAATGAGAAAATTCATAAAAGGAGAAATTTAGAATGAGGATTTTGGAGCAAATTTTGAAAAAGAGCAAGGGTGACACGTGGATTGCTTTGCTATATATATGTAGTATAGATTTTAATATTTTAACATTAATTATTAATATATTAGTAAATTACTTTTCATTGATTAATTATTTTAATTTATTTTAGTTAAATTATTAATAATAAATAATTATTTAATTATTCATTAATTAGTAATTAATTATTAAATATTGTGTTGTTAATTTATTAGTTTATACTTTTTAATAAAATTTTATTTTATTAATACTTATGACTTAATTAATAGTTTCACTATTTTATTATAAAATATTAATTAATTATTAAATTATTTTATTAATATGTTATTAGATGATTAATAATTTATTAATGGGTCATGGATCTACATTAACTCTTAAAAATACTTTAAGGAAGGTTATTTTTTTATCTCCATTCCCACTTGTTTCCCACCAAAATGGTGGGATTCCACAGGACCACATCCCAAGAATTGGGATTTATAATCCCACATTTTTCCCATCCCATCTCATGACATCCAAGAAACCAAATATGGAAAGGGAATAATATTTTAGAATATTCCATATTTTCCCTTCCCATCCCACACAAACTAAATAGGGCCTAAGGAAAAAAAGTTGCAACTACATTTTACTTGAATTGGTCCATCAAATAAGAGGCAAGTTAAAATGCATACATAACGCTAACATGGTAGCTTTTCTTAAAATAATGGCTCAAATGCTAAACTGAAAGAATGGTAGGATCTATCGTATGGACGCCAAAAAGGTTGCGGAATGGGTGGGCGAATTTCAAAAATTTTCCTACCTTCTTCCAACTGGGAATCATATTCCCTAAATTTAGAATACAATATTCAAAGATCCTACTTGAACCATAATCGAACTAGATCCGAACCAAAAGGAAAAGGGGGAATTATACCTGATCCAGAGAAGTAGTATCTCCCAAAGTTAGTGCTCACGCCCAAAGAGGACACCAAGATTTGCTCCTACTGAAGATGACACAGCAATATGTGGAACGAAACCAGTAGAGTGCGTCCTACACACTGAATCCTTCGCAAGAATCC